TGAAGAGTAGAATAAGGAGCTAAATCTGTAACTGACTGTGAACAATCTATTGAGATAAATCACTAACTTCGGACCAGCACAGGGCTCTTTCTCTACTCTACAGGTTTAAGCAGTGCTTGATTTCACATAATCAAATGATCAACAATTTCTGAATGTAATTTGAAAGAGAAATATAGTGATGATGCTGCCATTTTAGCATTTTGTTGGCTCTAAAACTTGCCTACTACTCCTGATTTGAACAAATTAATTCCAAGAAGACATTTTGAGCCATTTAGAGAAATCTGAATATGGGCTGGGTATTGGAATATATTAAGTAATTATTGCTTAGTCTGGTATATTTGATAATGGCTTTGTGATTATATTTTCAAATGTCCTACATTCAAGTATTAAAATTGATATGTTCATAATGGCACTAAAAAAAGAAATCTTATTGCTTATCCTTGGGGTTGCCAACTCATTATGATAAAAATGGATTTGGACAATTGCTTTCTTGTGATGTTATTTAATTTATACCTCACGTTAAAAAGTGGCACAGCAAAGGAAACAAACAACAAAGTGAAGAGAAACCCACAGAATGGGAGAAAATGTTTGCAAACTACTCACCTGACAAAGGATTGATAAGCAGAATATATAAAGAACTCAAACAACTCCATAGGAAAAAATCTAATCAATTTTAAAAATGAGTTAAAGAGGGGTCAGGTCGGCCTGGCATGGTAGCATGGAGCCCAGCAGCAGCAGTGCCTCTGTTCTGCAGGATCCGTGGGCTTCTTCTTCACTGTGTCCATCAGATGTTTGCCTCCCAGACTGAGAGGGAGCTCAGACTGATCCAGATTCTAAAAAGTTTCCTTGAGATACAGCTGTCAAAGTCACTCACATTTCAGGAGGTTGTAGGGCGATGTATAAAATTAAAATTGAATCATAAGAATTTAAGAAGATAACTGTTCAGCAGCACCAGATGGTTAATCAGGCCCTAAAAGAAGAAATCGAAGGGATGCATGGATTGTGGATATTTACCTCTGTCCCCAAACACTGACCACAGCCTGGCTTCATAGATGCTGCTGCTTAAAACCTTGGATGAACTTGACTGACACCATTCTTTCCTAGGCATTTGCCAAAAAATTTATATCTTTTGCTCATATATATGTCCATATTATAATTATAGAAATGCATAATCTATTTAGATGTTAATTAAAGGTAACAACTGAAAAAGATGAGCTAAAGATCTGAATAGGAGTTTTCTCAAAAGAAGACATAAGGCCGGGCGCAGTGGCTCACGCCTGTAATCCCAGCACTTTGGGAGGCCGAGGCAGGTAGATCACGAGGTCAAGAGATAGAGACCATCCTGGTCTACATGGTGAAACCCCGTCTCTACTAAAAATACAAAAAAGTAGCTGGGCATGATGCCGCGTGCCTGTAATCCCAGCTACTCAGGAGGCTGAGGCAGAAGAATTGCCCGAACTCAGGAGGCGGAGGTTGCGGTGAGCCAAGATCACAACATTGCCCTCCAGCCTGGGTAACAAGAGCGAAACTCCGTCTCAAAAAAAAAAAAAGAAGACATAAAAATGGTCAACAGGTATATAAAAAAAAGTGGTCAATATCATTGATCATCAGAGAAATGCAAATCAAAACTACAATAAGATATCATCTCACCCCAGTTCAAATTCCTTCTATCCAAAAGAAAGGCAATAGTGAATGCTGGCAAGGATATGCAGAAAGAGGAACCCGCGTACACTGTTGGTGGAAATGTAAATTATTAGCTTAGTGCAAAAGTCACTGCATTTTTTGACATTGAAAGTAATGACAAACCATTACAAAACAGGGTAAAATCCCATTTACCCTGTTATGATTATTACACATTTTATGCCTCTACCAAAATATCTCATGTACTTCATAAATATATATACTTACCATGGACCCATAACAATAAAAGATAAAAGAATTTTTAAAATTAAAAAAGTTATAATGAGGAAAATTTGAAGTCACTAGATATTTGATGATGTTAAGAAATTTTTTTCTTATTTTTACAATATAATGATATTATGGTTCTATTCTTAAAGTCCTTATCTTTTGTATTTACATACTGAAATGCTGACCATCATCATATAGTGATGAGATTTTTTTTAAAGGGTCCTTAAATGCTTATAGAGGTATTTATGAATAAAATAATATTTTGCCTGGAATTTGCTCTAACATAATCCAGGGTTTTTTTTATTATTGTTGTTGTCACCTTTGGAGAGAGAGGGTGATACTGTGGACGGTTGTCCTCTCCAAATTTCATGTTGAAATGTGATCCCCAGTTTTGGAGGTGGGGCCTAGAGGGGGTCTCATGAATGGCTTAGTGCCATCCCCTTGGTGATGACCGAGTTCTCACTCTATTAGTTGACTGGGGAGCTGGTTATTTAAAAGAAGCCTGGCCCCTTCTCCGTGCTGTCTTATCATGTGACATTCTCCGTGCTGTCTTATCATGTGACATACCTGCTCCCTCTTCACCTTGCCATGATTGTAAACTTCCTGAGGCCCTCACCGGCAGCACACTTCCTATGCTGCCTGCAAAACTGGAGGCCAAAATAAATCTTTTTTCTTTATAAGTTACCCAGTCTTAGGTATTTTTTATAGGAATGCAAATGGACTAATAGGTAGAATTATAGGTGAAACAAGATGGATCGGATGTTGCTAACTGTTGAAGCTGAGTGAACCTATATAAAGGTTCACTCCCAACTTCTCTCTGTTTGAAATTTCCCACAATAGAAAAATTTTAAAATGAACAAAATTCTATTCTCTAAAAGTATAATAACCTTGTAGAAGGGGGTAGAAAGCTTTGATGGATGGGTAGATATAAGCCCTAGCCAGGTCTATGGAGAATACGGCTCTGGGAGACCCCTAGCTCAGAAGCCTTCAAGCCCTGGGCTGCAGACCAGTACAAGTCTGTGGCCTGTTAGGAACTGGGCCACACAGCAGAAGGTGAGCGGCAGGCCAGCGAGCATTACCACCTGAGCTCTGTCTCCAGTCAGATCAGCCCAGGTATCAGATTCTCATAGCAGCGTGACCTCTATTGTGAATTGCACATGTGAGTGATCTAGGTTGCATATTCCTTATGGGAATCTAACTAATGCCTGATGATCTGAGATGGAATAGTTTCATCCCAAAACTGTATCCCCACCTGCTTCCCCCAAGGAAATATGGTCTTCCATGAAACTGGTCCCTGGTACCAAAAAGGTTGGGACCCACTGTCCTAGCTGATTGTGATCAAGACCAAGCTGTAGAATGCTATGTGTCTTCTTAAGGAACTTTTAGCTAGGCAAGTGTCAAGATAGGTAAGTCCAAGGTCCAGTGTTCAATGCTTTACTAATTTGGACCCCACTTAACCAAGTCCATTTTATTTTTTTCATTTCCACATTAATTAACATGTCATCCATCCTACAAGATCCAGCTCAAGTCCTATCTCTTTTTCACTGATCTCTTAGATAGTGATCCCTCTTTTTCCATATCCCTTTTAGTGGATTGTTTCCTGACAACTTTTGCTAACCTGAGTGTAGGTTCCTTAAAACCAGGGACCAGCAGGGCACAGTGGCTCCTGCCTGTAATCCCAGCACTTTGGAACACTGAGATGGGTGACTGCTTGAACTCAGGAGTTTGAGACCAGCCTGGGCAACATAGTGAAATCCTATCTCTAAAAAAAAAAATAAAAAAATAAAAAATTAGCTGGGTGTGGTGGCTTGCCTGTAGTGTCAGCTACTTGGGAAGTTGTAATCCTGTAGTCCCAGCTACTAATACTTGGGAGGTTGAGGTGGGAGGATTGGTTGGACCCAGGAGGCAGAGGTTGCAGTGAGCTGAGATGGCACCACTGCACTCCAACCTGGGTGTTAGAGTGAGGCCTTGTTTCAAAAAAATAAAATTAAAAAATAAAAACAGACCATGACATATTTTAAAAATTCTCTCAGCACCAAAAATAATACTATCCACAAAGTCAGAGCTCCATTAATATTTGAATAAATACAGGTTGGAAGAGCCCAATAAATAGATCAATTAATGATTTTTAAACAAAGAAAAGTGGTCTCTCTGTCCTGGTAGTTTCCAAAAAAACCCCACTCTGATTCCTATTTTGAAGCTGCTGGATTTTTTTTTTTAAGACAGTCTCGCTGTGTTGCCCAGGCTGAAATGCAGTGGTGTGATCTTGGCTCACAGCAACCTCCACCTCCCACGTTCGAGCGATTCTCCTGCCTCAGCCTCCCAAGTAGCTGGGACTACAGGCGTGAACCACCATGCCCAGCTAATTTTTTTTCCTTTTTTTTTTTTGTATTTTTAGTAGAGATGAGGTTTCGCCATGTTGGCCAGGTTGGTCTCGAACTCCTGAGCTCAGGCAATCTGCCCACCTTGGCCCCCCAAAGTGCTGGGACTACAGGCGTGAGCCGTCATGTCTGGGCAGCTGCTGGATATTTTGACCACCTCTAGTACGCTGAGCAGGAAATCAGTGCATCTGGCAGTACACAGGAGCTTGAAATACTTTTTTTTTTAAGTTGTTATTCAAACTGAAGGAGTTTTTCCCTGAGGTCTGTAATCACCACTAGCCCGTTCTGTACACAGCCGGCCTGGGCTTGTCAATACCACGTCCACTACCTAAGAGAACACGTCTGAAAGGCTTGGAGCGAGTACGGCACAATCAGCTTCAGATGTTAAGCAAATATTCCAATCTAGAAGTAGGAAAATGGAATACGGACCGGGCTTTATGAAGGTGCATGGTCAGGCAAAGGTTCTTAGTGGATGAAAGATAGTAAAGATCCATCCCAACCAAAGACCAAAAATGACACAAACATATGTATGAGCAAAACATCAGGAGGAACATTCTTGTGTGGAAAATATTATACAGAAAACAAAAGAAGAAGAGTAACTGTTTCCCTCTCGGTTTAGCCCGCTCTGGTCCTCAGGGCGACCGCCACCACTAGCCACACAGCCACACAGGAAGGAGGGAAGCGCCCGCAAAGCACTGCCCTCGAGGTCCTGGGGAGCCCGGAAGCGGGCCCAGAGCCAGGGCCCGGGCGGGCGCCACCGAGCGCGGACCTCCGCGCATCCTAGAGCGGCCGCGGGATCCGGCTGGCGGCACACTTCCGCCCGGGCATATTGTATCCCCGCGGACGGCTGGGCCTGGGTGCTGGCCTGTGCCTCCCTCGCCTCCTGGCGCGGGCCTCGGGGAGAGGGTGAGTGGGGCAGGGCATGCCAGAGGGGGGCGGGCGCGCTTCCTCGGGACTCGCTGACTCGGCTAGGCCCGGCCCGGCCCGGCGCTGGGGACCTAAGCCCGGGGAGCGCCCAGCAGCGAGGACGCGCCTTGTTCACCAACTTGGGTCGGAGCCTCGGCCTCCCGGCGTCGCCGCCCACCCCGCCTTTGTCGAAGCTAACTCGGTCTCTCTGGGGAGCCTGGGCTCGTTAAAGGCCGGAAATCTGGCCTCTGGCCCTGTTTGTGCCTTGGCCTCTCACTTTCTGCTTCCCGGCCCCGGTTCTTTCCGCTCTAAGATGGAGGACTGTGGTATCTGTTCTATGCACACCACGGGGTGATTGATTGCAGGGTTGACGCTGCCTGCCTGAAAACGAAGAAGCGCCGGTTCTCCACTCGGCAGCCAGAAGAATCGCTTGGAAAACCTCCAGATGCTGAGGCCCGGTCATCACCGGGTAACTGTGATCTGCGGCCAGGACTGAGAACCACGGCCTCAGAGTGAAATGACAGTACTGTGATCACGACTGGAATATGCACTTTACCGAACGTGGTGGATCACATTCTTGAGAAAGCAAGCAGCCAGGATTTTTTGTTTTGTTTTATTTTGGTCCAAGAAGTCAGGGACCTAATCTGGTTTGCTTGCATTTAATTACTAGTGCCTAGAATGGTGCATGTCCCAAAACATGCACCATTTATTACATAATTTCTAATTACTTCCCAACCTATTGGGAGGGTTTTCATTATACTTGTTTTTAAATTGTTATGGAAACCTTCAAATCATATATGAAAATAGTATACTGAACTCCGAATTCATCATCAATCCTGTTTCATCTGTTACCCTCTTCCACACTGTAGTATTTTAAAGCAAATCTGAAATGTACCATTCCATCTGTTATCTTGTTCATGTTTATGAAACACAATCACACCTTTTTTAAAACATAAAGCCATTATTAGTATAATTAGCACTTCATTCTACCCTCTACTATCCAGTCAGCATTTATATTTTCCTAGTTGTTTCTCTCCCCTTCTCCAGTTTGTCCAAATCAGTATCCAAACAAACTATACACATTACATTTGGTTGATGTCTCTTAGCTCTCTCTTTATCTTTTTCCTTCCTTATTTTGTTCCCTGTATTTTACTTGAAGAACAAGTCATTTGTACAGTTCGTGTTTTCTACATCCAGGATTTTGCTTTTTCCATCTCTGTGGTATCCTTTAATAAGCAGGTATTTAGTAGACCTGTAGCCTTGTTCAGGTCAGGTTCTGTTTTTTGGCAAGAGAACTTCATGGGGGATTACTGTGTTTTTCACATTGTATCACACCAGGAATTAGATAGCATCTTGTCTCTCTTTGTGGACCTAGTAGCACCATAGGATAACCAAACAATTGACCAGGGAATGCCAGCAAATACAAGCAAAAGAAATGAGAGAATATCACCTTTTGGCAACCCGTAATGAAATGATGGATCCTGGCAATGATCACTAGTACATGCTATGGGGTACTTCTATCAGACAGCACACGTTTGTCTTACCAAGTATTCTTGGAGTAATGGGGGTGGGGTGTACAGCTGAAACAAAATTGTCCATGAGTTGATTGTTGAAGCCCAGTGATGGGTGTGTGGCATTGCATCATGCTAGGCTCTGCTTCTGTATGTGTCTGAAGTTTTTCAGAATAAAACTTTTTTTAAAAGTTTAAAAAAGATTGATTAGTTGACTAGAGAGTTTAGGTCAGCCTGATCCATCCATTGCAGTTCTGTTAGCCTTTCACTAAGTGGTTCTCAAATCTGACTCCATGTTAGGATCACAGGAGAAAGCTTTTTATTTATTCATTTATTTATTATTATTTTTTGAGACGGAGTTTCGCTCTTGTTACCCAGGCTGGAGGGCAATGGCGTGATCTCGGCTCACCGCAACCTCCGCCTCCTGGGTTCAGGCAATTCTCCTGTCTCAGCCTCCTGAGTAGCTGGGATTACAGGCACGCGCCACCACGCCCAGCTAATTTTTTGTATTTTTAGTAGAGACGGGCTTTCACAATGTTGACCAGGATGGTCTCGATCTCTTGACCTCGTGATCCACCTGCCTCGGCCTCCCAAAGTGCTGGGATTACAGGCTTGAGCCATCGCTCCCGGCCCCGAGAAAGCTTTTTAAAAAAAATACTAAAACATGTTTCACTTGCAGAATTTCCTATCAAAATGTTCTGAGATGGAGCCCAAGCATTGATACGATTTTTTGTTTTGTTTGGGACTACAAGTGTATGCCATCACGCCCGGCTAATTTTTTATAGAGACAGGATCTTGCTATGTTTCGCAGGCTGGTCTTGAACTCCTGGCCTCAAGCCATTCTGCTGCCTCAGCCTCCCAAAGTGCTGAGTTTACAAGCATGAGCCACCAAACCTGACCTTCACTGGTACATTTCAAAAGCTCTCCCTGTGATACTAATATGCCCCCAGGGTTATATACTACTTGTCTAGATCCATTGTTTCTTAGGGATGACAAAGTGATTATATTGTTATTCCTCCTGCAGTTAATTAGCCTTGACAAATGTTAACTTTCTGCATTGTTTATTCTTACTGATCTTGCAAATCAATAAGGAAGCTTCTGTGAACAAAGCTCCTTTATTATCAGAGGAAGACTTGATCTTGGAGGTGAAAATGTAGAGTAACACATGGAAGGGATACTAGCAATAACCTCAAGGCTATAGGTAAGATAGAGATGCACCACCTTATGTCTGAGGGTTGGGGAGGAGCTCTTTCCCAAAATGGAAGAAAGACTAGTATGTAGTTAGAGAAGCATGTTTGGCTGTATGACACATTTCCAAAAAAAAAAAAAAAAAAAAAAAGCATCAGCATTAAGTAAAAAAATTAAAAAAATAAAGTGCCACTCATTGGAACATAAAACAATCCACATATTTAAAAGAAAAGTTAACAGTTTCCCATGCAGCCTCCACCCCATTACTTTAATCACCTCTGAGATAACACATATTAACAGGATGGTGTGTATCTTCTCCCACATCGGACTTTGTCTATCTTACATAAATGTAGGGATTTGGGTCATTGTTATAAAAATGACATCATACCATGGCCATCTGTAACTTTTCTCCTTGTCATCTCTCCAGGACAGTAGTTGCAGACTTGACTCTCTATTAGCTGAAGAATAAATAGTTGATAGAATAAATAATAGTCAAATGTACCCATTTTCCTGTTGACGTATTTAGATTGTGTCCATATTTTAGCCACCTTAAGGGCACCACAATATACATCATTGTACATAGATCTTTATTATTTGGGTAGATTCCCAAAAATGGGAATTGCTGGGTGAAAGCATATAATTATCAACAGCATCATTATTACTGGTAATATATATTGCCAAATTATTCTCCCAAAGCATAATTGCAGCGGTACCCATTTACCCTCATCCTGGTTAGCACTGGCTAGCTTTGCTTTATTGATATTTGCCTGCTAGCTGATGTGTGGTAAACGGTCTCTTTTTTGTTTGTTTGTTGTGAGAGTGGATCTTGATCTGTCACCCAGGCTGGAGTGCAGCAGTGAGATCACGGCTCACTGCAGCCTTAACCTCCCAGGCTCAAGTAATCCTGCCTCAGCCTCCTGAATAGCTGGGACTAAAAGCACATGCTCCAAGTCCAGCTGATTTTTGTTTTTTGTAGGGACAGGGTCTCACTATGTTGCCTAGGCTGGTGTCAAACTCCTGGACTCAAGTGATCCTCCTGCTCCAGCCTCCCAGAATGCTGGGATTACAGGCATGAGCTGCTGCACCCAGCCTCTTTTTTCTGTATTTTGCATTCCACTAACTATCTGGAGACTAAACACTTACCTTTTATTTATTTATTTTAATTTTTTAAATAGATACATGATAGTTGTTTGAACCCTTTTCATGCTTTTAGGCCATTTGGATTTCTTCTGTGATTCCTATATATGCATGTATATATATCCTTTGCCTGTTTTCCTATTGCACCAGTATTTTTGTATTTTGAATGCATTTGCATACACTTTTTTAGGAGCATTAACTCTCTGTCATAAGGGGGTCCAAACTATTTCTTTCAGTTTTTTTCCTTGTCTTTTGACTTTATGAGTCTTGATATATAAAATATTTTATTTAGTGAAAATGTCTGATTTTTAAATTTCCGAGTTTTAAGTCTTGCCAATAAGGGCTTCCCCATCTCTACAGTTAAAGATATAAATATTCTAATTTTTGGAACATGTTATTGGATTTTTTGCATTTAAATTTCTGACTTATGTGGAGTGTATTTTTATATACAATACAAAATGAGCATCTTGCTTTGCTTTTTTCTGCTAGAACAGCCTATTATGTCAGTGCCATTCATTAGAGAAACCACACTTTTTATAGCTTTGTGTAAAGTGTGGTTTATCAATACTATATTGATTACCATAGGTAGGTAGTTTATTGCTGGACTTTCTCTTCCCTTTTACCTCTACTTTTGTGCCAATATTATTCTGATTGATTGAGACAGAGTCTCACTCTATCACCCAGGCTGGAGTGCAGTGGCGCAATCTTGGCTCACTACAACCACTGCCTCCCAGATTCAAGCTATTCTCCTGCCTCAGCCTCCTGAGTAGCTGGGACTGCAGATATGAGCTACCACTCCCGGCTAATTTTTTGTATTTTTAGTAGAGACAGGGTTTCATCATCTTGGCCAGGCTGGTCTGCCTCAGCATCCTGAGTAGCTGGGACTGCAAGTATGAGCTACCACACCCAGCTAATTTTTGTATTTTTAGTAGAGACAGGGTTTCACCATGTTGGCCAGGCTGGTCTCGAACTCCTGACCTCAGGTGATCCACCTGCCTTGGCCTCCCATAGTGCTGGGATTATAGGCGTGAGCCACTGTGCCTGGCCTATTCTGTTTTAATTACGTCAGATTGCTCTAGTAAATGTTAATACCTAGAGAGACAAGTCGCTACTCGCTGCTTTTTGTAATTTTCTTGCCCCTTCTCAGGCATTTATTTTTTCTTCCATATTATTTTTGTATTGTTTCTGTTCCAAAGTAAATCCCACTGGAAATATGATCGAATTTGCACCAAATATATCTACATTAATTTAGGAAAGATGAACATTTCTGTGATATCAAGTCATCTTACCAAAGACATAATGTGTATCTCTTATTTTTGTTAATCTTTTGTTTGCTGTTCCTTTGCTGCTAACTTTATTTCTGGTAATTTTGTTTTTGTTCTTGGAATGAGTTTTTTTCCCCATTTCTATTTTTATGTTATTACTAAGACTGAGAAGAGTTAATTGAAATTTCCATATATATATATATATATTTTTTTTTTTTCGAGACAGAGTTTCACTCTTGTTACCCAGGCTGGAGTGCAATGGCATGATATCGGCTCACTGCAACCTCCGTCTCCTGGGTTCAAGCAATTCTCCTGCCTCAGCCTCCTGAGTAGCTGGGATTACAGGCATGCACCACCATGCCCAGCTAATTTTTTGTGTTTTTAGTAGAGACAGGGTTTCACCATGTTGCCCAGGATGATCTTGATCTCTTGACCTCGTGATCCACCCCCCTCGGCCTCCCAAAGTGCTGGGATTATAGGCATGAGCCACTGTGCCTGGCCTGAAATTTCCGTATATTTTATACCCAGCTGTCGAATTCTCTTATAGTAGTTTTTCTTAAGCTTATTTGTTTTCTTCTCTGCCATCAATGTGGATAATCTACAATCAGTTATGTATAAGTTTCAGTTTATTCTAATTTATTCTGTTTGATACACATTTTCCATCTCAGAAGTATATCAGAGATGTCAGATGTGCCTAGAAATCGTGAAAGGAATAGTGTTAGCAGTTGGAATAAATCTGCACATTCAACAGGTTATTGCTGATCACTTAAAATAACAGTCCCAAGTCCTCATGAATCATGGACCATATCATGTAGGGAGTGAGACATTTGTCAGCATTATTGTGAAGTATCAGCATGACTATAGAACATCATAGAGTGCTACTGTTATGATTGTTCAGAGAAAGGGCTGATCATTATGGGCATCAGAGATACCATTTGGTGGTCATAATTAAATACCGTCTCTTGCCCAGTATCTCAACTAGAGTTGTTTACAGTTTATTAGAAGGAATTTTTTAAAATTAATGAGTGGAAAGTATAGAGAGTTCCCATATGCTGTTTTATCCCTCACCACTCAGTTTTCCCTGTATGAATATCTTGCATTAATGTGGTCCATGTTCAGAAGCTTAAGGGCTCAAAAAAGAAAAGAAAAATGTGCTACATGTGTTACAGTTGATGAGCCAATATTGATACATTTTCAACTAAAGTTTACATTAGGGCTCACTCACTCTAGTGTTGTTCATTCTGTATACAATTAAATGTATAATGACATATGTTTGTCTTACGGTATCATACAGAATCATTTCACTGCCCTAGACATCCTCTGTGCTCTGCCTGTTCATTCTTCCCTCCCTCCCGCTGTATCACTAGCAAGCACTATTCTTTTTACCATCTCCATAGTTTTGCCTTTTTGAGAACATATAGTTAGAATTCAACTATAGTTTTTAATTGCCTGGGTTTGGTTATTTTTGTTTGTTTGGGTGTGTGAACAATTATGCAAGATTTGTTAACTTGTAGTTTTAGCCAAGTTATTAAAATCTTACTGTGGTTATGTGTGGAATACTATAAGAGAACAAGAATTCAGACTGTTCTAAATAACCAAAAAATAATAATGGTAAATATTACAGGAATGTGTTTTTGGTACAGTGATACTAAATAATCCCCAGATGATCATTCTGTTGCAGGGTGGAAGATGTCTATGGATGTGACGTTTCTGGGGACGGGTGCAGCATACCCATCTCCAACCCGGGGTGCCTCTGCTGTGGTCCTTCGGTGTGAGGGCGAGTGCTGGCTCTTTGACTGTGGGGAGGGAACACAGACACAGCTTATGAAAAGCCAACTTAAAGCAGGTTAGTGTGCCTTCAGCTATCTCATTAAGATTTGTTTTTGTTGTTTGCTTCATTTTCTTGGCTCTTCTTGGACATTTTGTTCAGAAACAGCCCTGATGGTTGCATCCCACTTCAATGCTAGACGTTGGTGAGACTTGGAAGGCCCGCAGGCATCTGGCCACATCCACTGAACTTCAGTTACTTATTTACTTGCTTTTCATTCATCCTGTAGATGTTGAAAGCAAGGATTCACGTAGGCTTGGGGTTTGGGAAATGTAGTGGAATACACCAGGCATATTAGATGGACACTCCCTTAGCAAGGAAGCAGTGTACATGCTTATTTCTACCGTTTTCATGAGAGGATGCAAAGGGTAGGAAATGTTTGGAGGAGGGAGATGCTGAGATGCTCTTTCCCTCTTGGGTTATCAGGGTAAACTTCTCAGAGAAGTTGACCTGTGAGTTGTCAAAGGAGGAGGAAGAATTCCCAGGGCCGAGGAGAAGAAGTGCATTTCAACCAGAGGGAATGGAGTGAGCAGAGGCCAGCACCTGGGAGACAGAGCACTAATGGTGAAAAGCTTCAGCTCAGAGTCAGGTAGATCTGGGTTCTAGTCCCGGCTGTGTCTTGGGCTTGTGACCGTAGCAGATCAGCAAACTTCAACTTTACTTTCCCCATCCTGAAAATGGGGATTAAAAAGTCTACGTAGAAAGGGTGTTATAAGAATTATATGTAACCATTTATTCTCTGGCAGAACCCTTACAGTGGTGGGACAGTCTGCCCTCAGCTCCTCAAGTTCTCTGCATTGTGGGTTTCTGCCTCATGGTAGCTTGCTTCATAGCCAGCACAGAAGAAGGAGACTCTGGAGTAAGTCTGCTAGTAAGATGGAGTCCTATGTCCCATAACATAATCACATTGCATTCCTGTGCCATATTCTACTGGTTAGAAGCAAATCACAAGTCCCAGCCACACTCAAGGAGAAGGGATTATAGGACTTGAACACCAAGAAGTAGGAGCCACAGGGACCACCTAAAGTATCCACCACACACCACAAGTATATTTTACAGTTCCTTTTTATATGATTATTTTGTGTGTGTGAGACTGAGTCTTGCTCTGTCACCCAGGCTGCAGTGCAGTGGCATGATCTCGGCTCACTGAAACCTCTGCCTACTGGGTTCAAGTGATTCTTGTGCCTCAGCCTCCTGAGTAGCTGAGATTACAGGCACTCATCACCACACCTGGCTAATTTTTTTTTTTTTAGACAGAGTGTTGCTCTGTCACCAGGCTGGAGTGCAGTAGCACAATCTCAGCTCACTGCAACCTCTGCCTCTCGGGTTCAAGTGATTTGCCTGCTTTAGCCGGGACTATAGGCATGCGCCACCACGCCCAGCTAATTTTTGTATTTTTAGTAGAGATTGGGTTTTCACCATGTTGGCCAGGATGGTCTCAATATCTTGACCTCATGATCCACCCACATTGGCTTCCCAAAGCGCTGGGATTACAGGTGTGAGCCACTGTACCCAGCTTAATTTTTTTGTATTTTTAGTAGAGATGGGGTTTCACCATGTTGCTCAGGCTGGTCTTGAACTCCTCAGCTCAGGCAATCCACCTGCCTCATCTTCCCAAAGTGCTAGGATTCAGATGTGAGCCACTGCACCCAGTCTATATAGGTTTTAAATAAACAGTTGGAGTTGGGTGCAGTGGCTCATGCCTGTAATCCCAGCACTTTGGAAGGTCAAGGCAGGAAGATCACTTGAGGCCAGGAGTTTGAGACTAACCTGGGTAACATAAAGAGACTCTGTCTCTACAAGAAATAAAAAAGTTGCGGTAGTTGTGTGCACCTGTGGTCCCAGCCGGATGCTGAGGCATGAGGATGCTTTGAGCCCAGAAGGTCAAAGCTGCAGTGAGCCATGATCGGCCACTGCACTCTAGCCTGGTGACAGAGCAAGACCCTGTCTCAACAAACAAATAAAAAAACATAAATGCATACATTCTTACGTACAGTTGGTAAATCTAATCTTGGCCAAAAAATACCCCCAAAAGCCTAAGGGAGCCTTTAGTTTACTACATTTCCGTAGGCTTAGAAAAAAATTTCTGGCCTCAGAGAGGAAGGTGAGAGAGTAATCTCAGAGCATTACCTATGACTCTCTAGTACTCAAATGCCCCCAGTCTCAAACTGGAATGCAGCACCCTCAATGTATAGTAATTTCTCTCCATAACCTATTATGGACCTAACATTATTTGGTTCATTGAAACCCTTTCAGCTTGTACTACCTCCAGGGATAATAAATTTTGAGTTTCATAGGAGTTTCTTTCTATTTAGCTAAACATACTTCTTATAAGCTTCCAGGGTCCTAATATGCATATCTTTGATTGATTAAGAAGTGCAGGTTTGCCATCTTTATTCCTTTTAGAGTTATAAAGAACAAGTGTAAGCCTTCTTTTTTCCCCTTAAAAATGGGCTGGACATGGTGGCTCATATCTGTAATCTTAGTGCTTTGGGAGGCTGAGGTGGAAGGATCACTTGAACCCAGGAGTTCAAGAGTACAATGAACTATGATTGTGCCACTGTACTCCAGCCTGGGCAACAGAGTGAGACCTGCCTCTAAAAAAATAAAACAAAATTTTTTAAATGATTATGAATTTTTTTTCTTTTTTTTGATATAAATTTAAATATAATTGCAGTTTTGTTACATGGATATATGACATAGTGGTCAAGTCTGGGATTTAGTGAAGTCTGGGATTCCATCTCCCAAATAATGTACATTGCTCTCATCAGGTAATTAATCATCCTTCACCCCCCCCCAGCCACCCTTCCACCCTTCCAAGTCTTCCAAATATATTATTCTATACCGTATACTCATGTGTACACATGAAATGATTATTTAAAGTATTATAAGAGCATGATTTTTAAAATTATGTAAAAAGTATAAATGCTTATTGTAAAAATTCAAACAAAACAGAAAAGTATAAATAAGAAAAATCCAAGTCCCCTGTCCATCATAGGTGAATTTTATATATATATATGTGGTGATAGTATGGGAGAGAGTGTGTGTGTGTGTGTGTGTGTGTGTGTGTTAGTTCTGCATACATAGAATTATGCTGCTCTTGGCATAACCTGTTTTTTTTTTCAACTGAGCAATGTATACAAGGAATATATTGCAGCTTTTCCAAATCCAGTAAATATACCTATGTCTTCATTTTTAGAGAATGCTCAGTATTCCACTCCTCTGTAGATGACATATTCCCCCATAACTTCCTTGTTCCCAAGGGAAAGGAACTCAGGCATTTTTCTGTCTTCATTTGAGAGCTTCCTCATACTTCTGATGATTGTGGTTGCCATTCCTTCTCCCTTCAAAATCAAGTTTTTTGAAAAATGACGTGTTTGTCTCCTTGAAACTGTTGATAACTGTAGGAAGAAGTTTTTCAGTTAATTTGCCTCACTTCAGGTTCACAAGTTGTTTTGTGTTCAGTTTGGCTTTGTTTTAGAGTAGATAGGGAAAGGGCCCAGAAAGTCTGCTGTTGGCAGTTTTGAGGCTACTGGGGGATATGGACTCAGTGACTGCTGTAGTCCTTTTTTTTTTTTTTGAGACAGTTTTGCTTTTGTCGCCCAGGCTAGAGTGCAATGGTGTGATCTTGGCACACTGCAACCTCCACCTCCTGGGTTCAAGCAAGCAATTCTCCTGCCTCAGCCTCCCAAGTAGCTGAGATTACAGGCATGTGCTACCACACCCAGCTAATTTTGGATTTTTAGTAGAGACAGGGTTTCTCCATGTTGGAGAGGCTGGTCTCGAACTCCTGAACTTAGGTCATCTCCCCACCCCTGCCTCAGCCTCCCAAAGTGTTGGGATTATAGGTGTGAGCCACCACACCTGGCCCTTCTATTACATAGTTCTTTTGTCTGCAGAGTCCTCAGGTCATGCATGGAGGTGGCTTGGTAAGCTGGACAGGGAGATGGGGGAAATTAGGTATTCAGGCAGTCAAAAAACAGCAAAAAGGAGCATATTGAGGAAACTTCTAGAGTGCCCCCTGGGGATTTGCAAGGCCTACAATCAGCCTGTGCCCAATCTCTGTTGCTGGGGCCTGGGCTTGATGTCATAATTCTGGAAAGACTTGCTTGGAGAACACTTGATATTATGAGACAAACTGCATTGTAGTAAACTCTTCCTGTTCTTTTATGGTGTCAATAAATTGTTTCTGTACTTTTATAGCATCAAGTGTTTAAAATAGGTGGGCTTTGAGCAAAGGACCAGAAGCCTCTTTTGTACTAGAAATGTGTTAGTTGTGATTGCTCCTTTTGAAATGACATGTGGCACATCTCAGAAAATGCTGATGTGGCATCCTGCCACATTGCAGCAATAAATTCAGTTTACCATTGGCTAAATCAAGTTATAACCTCAGTCAGTATGCACTGAAAAAGCTGTTATGTTAGTTCAGACTGAAAGGAAGAATGGACCCAAGTACCCTTACATAATAGCATAGGGGATCAGCTCTCCTGCATTCTGGCATCTATTGCCCACCTTCCTTCTCAATTCCTTACCTTGTTCCTCTCCTACCTCCCTTCTGCCTTCTCTCTTTCTTCTCCCTTCCTCACTCTTCTTCCTTTTCTCTATCTTCTTCAACCTCACCCAGAAAAGCAGGCTGTGACCTGATGGGTTAATTCCTGTCCAGTGTAGGGAGTACTTAAAAGGCAATTTTGGGTTCAGGCACTGGTCCAGTCAGTTGGAGCCAGTGGAACATTTTGTTTTCCTGTAATACATGTTTGCTTTTCTCAGAGGGAGCAGTAGGGGGCAATGTAATTGCTAGATGGTTTTGATACTTGAGGCCTATTTATTTGATAGTTAAGTGAATTATTTTGGTACACTTGTATATTTTACTTTTTTTTTTAATGTGACAGAAAATGTAAGAAAATACTCTGAAAGCTGTAAAACTATGTAATATGAAGATGTTTCATGAAAAAAAGTTATGTCTTATGGAAACCATCTGGTGGGGCCAGGCACAATAGCTAGAGCTTGTAATCCCAGCACTTTGGGAGCCGAGGTGGGAAAATTGCTTAAGGCCAGGAGTTTGAGACCAGCCTGGGCAACATAGCAAGACCCCATCTCTACAAAATTAAAAAAAAAAAAAAAAAAGCCAGGCATGGTGGTAGGTACCTGTAGTCCTAGCTACTTGGAAGGCTGAGGCAGTAGGATCACTTGAGTGCAGGAGGTCAGGGCTGCAGTAAGCTATGATCACAACACTGCACTCCAGCCTGGATGACAGAGTGAGACCCGTCTCTTTCAAAAAACTATTAAAAACAAACAAACAAACAAAACCATCTGGTGAAATAAAGCCTGTCTTTCTTGCTTTTGGAATCATGTAGCAAAATATAAATGAATAAGTTTATGATGGTAAGTAGAACTTTTAAATTCAATTTACTATTTTTAATGTAAATTGTTAGGCTTGTTTCAATAACTTTGTATGGGTTTTTACTTAATGAAAAATTTCCAAATGTATATTCTCTGTCTCAATCAAAAGGAAGAATTACCAAGATCTTCATCACACATCTTCATGGAGATCATTTCTTTGGCCTTCCTGGGCTCCTCTGCACAATCAGCCTGCAGAGTGGCTCCATCGTGTCCAAACAGCCTATTGAAATCTATGGCCCTGTAGGGCTTCGGGACTTTATCTGGCGAACCATGGAACTCTCTCACACGGAGCTGGTCTTCCATTATGTGGTTCATGAACTGGTTCCCACAGTGGATCAATGTCCTGCAGAAGAACTGAAAGAATTTACACATGTGAATAGAGCAGGCAGTCCTTCCAAAGAGGAACAAGGAAGAACTATCCTACTAGACTCAGAAGAAAACTCATACCTTCTGTTTGATGATGAACAGTTTGTTGTAAAAGCATTTCGCCTCTTTCACAGAATTCCCTCATTTGGGTTTTCAGTTTTGGAAAAGAAACGCCCGGGTAAACTCAATGCACAGAAACTAAAAGACCTCGGTAAGCATGTTTTCCCCCTTCTCATCAATAGGGTTCCTGTTAACTGAAGCTGTAAGAAGTGTCATAGTAAGGCCAGGTGTTGTGGCTCATGCCTGTGGTCCTAGCACTTTGGGAGGTGGGTGGATCACTTGAGTTCCGGAGTTCAAGACCAGCCTAGGAAACATGGTGAAACCCCATCTCTCCTAAAAATACAAAAATTAACTGGGTATGGTGGCATGCACCTGTAGTCCCAACTTCTTGGGAAGCTGAGGCAGGAGAATCATTTGAACCCGGGAGGTCAGGGCCACAAGTGAGCCAAGATGGCATTACTATACTCCAGCTTGGGTGACAGAGCAAGACTGTGTCTCAAAAAAAAAAAAAAAAAAAAAAAGTACCATAGTAAACTTCCATTCCTCTATTCCAGGCCTAAAACTGACATTTTCTCCACTTAGTCCCTTTGCCCAAAGTTGGCTTATTAAGGAAAATCCATGGAGACAAAAAATGCTACTTAGAGCAAAAGCCAACTATACATCTGAATCCTCTCCTGAGCTCCCTGGATCCACATTCTTAGTCTGTCTTCACCTTACACTATCTTGCTTGGCAAGGTGATTTGGGTGGTAGTGGTGGTGGTTTTAGGTTCAGGCTTTATTTTTTCATGTCTTCCCTTTGATATGTGTTTTTGACGACATCTTTGGTCTGAGAATTTTTGCCATCATTCTTAACCTTGCAACTACAACCATGTGCTTTTAGAGTTTCCTTCTGTATCTACTTTGCCTATAAATTTAAGCTTGATTAAATTGATTTGGTATTCAAAATGCTGTGCCTCAGCCAGTTTTATATACCAGGGTTCATCACAGTTGAAAGCAATCATATAGAGGTGGGCTTGGGGCCCATCTAAGACTTCACACCTTCTCCATGCTAAGCCAGGAGAGTCCAGGTACAAGGTACATTATATCTCCAGTGTCACTGCCTTCATGGGCATTTTGTGGCCGTGACTGTAAAAAGTATGGTGGCATTGTGTGTGTTTGTGTTTTTATTTATGCACTATCTTCCTCAACTAAAATAAAATGCTAGATAATGAGGAAAACTGACTTAGGCCAAGGGTATTTTTACCCGAAAGCCTGTGGAAATACTATTATATTTGGAAACTTTAAACATGATCTGTGTTAGAATCTGTGGTCACATTATACTAGTTTGTAAGTATTGACCATAGTGATGATCAGATCTTATTTTAAATTAATATGAAATTTAAGCTCACTTTGATAAATGTGGAATTGCCCCTGTCTGCCAAGAAGAGTAATAATGTACAATTGCCTAAAAAAATGCTCCTTGATCTTGTAATACAAACAATCCTAACAATTTTTTATTAAGTTACTTTGTAGGTACTTGGTTTGACTAGGTGTTGATTAAACCTTTTTTTTGGAGGCAGTCTCACAGTGTTGTCCAGGCTGGAGTGCAGTGATAGGATCTCAGCTCACTCACTGTCACTTCTGCCTCCCGGGTTAAAGCAATTCTCATGCCTCAGCCTCCCATGTAGCTGGGACTACAGATGTGCACCACTGTGCCCAGCTAATTTTTTGTGTTTTTAGTAGATGCAAGTTTTTGTCATGTTGGCCTGGCTGGTCTCAAACTCCTGAGCTCAAGTGATCTCTCTGCCTTGGCTTAGCAAAGTGCAGGATTACAGGCATGAGCCACTGCACCTAGCCTGTTTATATCATTATTTAGATGTACTCTCAAATTTTACCCAAAGGTGAGCTTATTAAATAAAGCACTCTCAAAAACCATTGTTTCCGTACACTGCAGAGAATAAAAAATGTTATACTGACCATAATAGTGATACTTAGGAGACTAAAACTTGTCTGACATGCATGCATAAGACATTGCTAATATCAATCAGCACTGAAATTTTTAAAATGTATAAATAATTCCAGTTTTCTACAAGTAGCAAAATATACAGTTATGGATGCCTTTTCCATTAGCTATTCGCAATGCTGTTAAAATAGACTTGAAAAGTCGTAAATTCCATTCCTATGATGTAATGTTATCTGCCTTCATCATTAGGTGTTCCACCAGGTCCTGCTTATGGGAAGCTGAAAAATGGAATTTCTGTTGTTCTGGAAAATGGGGTTACAGTTTCTCCCCAAGATGTCTTAAAAAAGCCTATTGTTGGAAGAAAAATCTGCATATTGGGTGACTGCTCTGGGGTTGTGGGTGATGAAGGTGTAAAGCTGTGCTTTGAAGCAGACCTGTTGATTCACGAAGCGACCCTGGATGATGCCCAGATGGACAAAGCAAAGGAGCACGGCCACAGCACACCGCACATGGCAGCAATGTTTGCAAAGATGTGCCGTGCAAAGAGGCTGGTTCTGACCCACTTCAGTCAGAGGTACAAACCAGTTGCCTTGGCCAGAGAAGGAGAAACAGACGGCACTGCAGAACTAAAAAAGCAAGCTGAATCAGTGTTAGATCTCCAAGAAGTGACTCTAGCAGAAGATTTTATGGTGATAAGCATTCCAATCAAGAAATGAAACCTTGATTTCCTGAGTGCATACTGACCTGTCTGTGATATGTTACTGAACCTATAGTCCAGTTTTTAATTTCTTGATTTAGTCTGAAATCATTTGAGCCCTAATAATCCTAAAAAGAATGGAGTTGCATTGATGAATTGACTCAGTATATTTAAAGGAAGTAAGCTTTTTGATAATAAATCTTTTTAAGAGGAAAAAACCCCAACATCCTTATTAAAGTCCAAATTTGACAAAATGATGGACTAGTAAGGTATACCTCTCATTTTGTGCTACTACCACAGATATCAGCCAGTATTCCATGCAGTCCTGGGCTTAGCTGCTGCCCAGCTTTATTGCTGCTATTGGCAAAGTGCACAGGACTCAGCCCTCGTGGCTAAAAATGGTATTTTGGCAGTTTGTGTTGAATCTGTTTGTGTTATTAACAGAATAGGGAAAATGTCATGAGATGTTGGACATGCAGGATTGACGATAGCATGAGCATAGCTTTCCTGTAATACTGAATACAGGGTTTGGCTAGGTGTTTATTTTAACATTTTAGTGAACGTTCTGGTTGGCTCTTAACCCATGGTTCTCAGCTGGGCTGACCCTGCTCCTCTAGAAGTTTTGAAATTATGGGGATGTTTTCTTGTTACAGTGACTAACTACGGGGAGGTGGTGGTGGTGGTGAAGATGATGGTATTGATGATGGTATTGGTGGTACTGCTACTACTCGCATTTAGTCAGTAGGATTCAGGGATGTCCTACAGAAATTTTGATCAGTCATGTACAATAAAGAATCATCTCACCCCGAAATGCCTATTGCAGGCCCATTGAGATACACAGTGAGTTAAAGCTGATAACCCCTGATGTGAATATAGTTTACTAAAATTAGTGACATGATGAGTCGAATTACTAGGCAAGTCCAATCCTAAAGAGTGAATATGTTAGAATTGCAGTGTCATGCCAAGTAACATTTTAAAGAAATGAGCCATCAAGTGACCTTATGAACTTGGAGGAAAAAATGCTTATCTATTAAACTGAGGTTTCATTTCCATGTCCCTATTAATAATTCTTTCAGCACAATTAAAATTTTTTTTTTTCTAGAATAGCTCTTCCTTCTGAGCTGCCTTCCACCTTCCTTCTGTCTGGTGTATCTCTGAATCATTTGCCCCACAATGTTTCTTAAAATGTGTTCCATGGAAAGCTAGTCTTAAGTGCTGATTCACTCAGAAGGGCTCCTCTGTCAAATCAGTTTGGGAAACACTTTATGCTGTCTGTCCTAGGAGTGGTGTAGTGCTCATCAACATGTTAAAAACCGTATTTCTTCAAATGATCATAAACCAGTGTTTGGTGCCAGAAAGACCTGATCCCAGAATCCCATTCTGTGACTTACAGTCTGGAGCAGGTAACACTCTTTGAGTTTCTTCAGTGTGCTCATTTCAAAAATGGGAAAAACAGTAAGACCCAATTCACAGATAGTTAAACAAGACAACATATATAAGGAGCATAGCACATTGCTTAAAGGTGTTGAGAAATCCTGTAGTACAGAGGCCTGTCAGCTCTACTGAACCCCTTTCTCAGTCCTATTTCACCAATACTATGTATTAACATCTCAGGAACTTAGAGAGCTTTATAGCACATGTATTTAGAGACATTGTTGTAGTACATACTGTTCAATTCCTCTGGGTTCTGGGGCTTCTCTGGCCAAAATTTTTGACTCCTGGCTAGTTTTGGAGACTCCAAAGTAATGACTAGCTGGGGGCAGTGGCTAATGCCTGTAATTCCAGCACTCGGAGGCCAAGGCAGGTGGATTGCTTGAGCCCAGGAGTTCCAGACCAGCCTGGTCAACATGGTGAAACCCCATCATTACAAAAACACAAAAGTTAGCCGGGCATAGTGGTATATGCCTGTGGTCTCAGCTACTTAGGAGGCCAAGGTGGGAGCCTGGAGAGGTTGAGGCTGCAGTAAGCCATGATCATGCTATTGCACTCCAGCCTGAGCAACAGAGCAAGACCCTCCATCTCTCTCTCGCTCTCTCTGAAAAAAAAAGAAAAAAGTAGCAATGATCAAGATAGGTCTGGTTACTTGAGATTGGATAATCATGATGCAGCCTCTAGAATGGTCTATCTTAACTGTAGATTCTTCCCGCCCCCCAAGTGCCAAACTTTGACCATGCATAAAGCCTGTCATGGTTTCTAAACTCAATTAAAATAAGCATTAATTAGACATTAATATGTACCCAAATTTGTGCAAGAAACTAGGACTCTAGGACTAGAATGGCCTGGATGAGTATCTGTAATGCATGAAGCCCCTGAGGGTAGAGACTATGTCTTAGTCACTGCTACATCCTTAGAAATGCCCACCTAGAGCTGGGTGCAGTGGTGTGTTCCTGTAATCCCACCTACTTGGGAGGCTGAGGTGGGAGGATGACTTGAGCCCAGGAGTTCAAGTCCATAACAACATAGCAAGACTCCATCTTGGCCAGGAACAGTGGCTCACACCTGTAATCCCAGCACTTGGGCAGGCCAAAGTGGATGGATTGTTTGAGGCCAGGAGTTTGAGACCAGCCTGGGCAATGAGGCTAAACCCTAAAAATATAAAAATTTGCATTTTTTTGTCTCTACTAAAAATACAAAAATTAGCCGGGCGTAGTGGTGCACATCTTTCATCCCAGCTACTCAGGAGCCTGAGGCACGGGAGTTGCTTGAACCCGGGAGGTGGAGGTTGCAGTGAGCTGAGATCACGTTACTGCACTCCAGCCAGGGTGACAGCAGTGAGCTCATATCATGTTACTGCACTCCAGACTGGGTGACAGAGTGAGACTCTGTCTCAAAAAAAAAAAAAGAAGAAGAAAGAGAAAAGAAATGGCCCACCTATAGTAAGCACTCAGAAATGCTTTTAAAATGAAGCCTTGATAACATGAGTGCACACACTTTAGGACATGCTTAAATGCCTAGCCCATTTCATTACTGAACTTATCAGAAAGAATATAAACCACCTGATTGGTGGTGCCCATTCACTGCGTAATAAATAAGTGCCAGACTTTGTTGTGTTGGTAGTACATAAAACAACCAAATGGCAAAATTCTAGCTGTAAGCTCATGGCCTAGTGAAAGAGACAAGTAGATAAAAGTAAATCTTGTTGCTTCACATATTCTAATCTTGTAGCCTGGGCACTCAAATTTTTCTGTTCCTGAGCACTACTTTGTAGCTGACCTGAGCCATGCCCTTAGAATCAGGCTCTATAAATACATATGGGCTAAGCCCTCAGAGGCCATGGGAATGTGGAAATGATATGTTGGATCAAGTGTAGAGTATCAGTCCATTATGAGAACTTTTTCTAGATCCTCTTCTGGTCCAGAATTTGTTTTCAATAATAGGGACATTCTAAGAATTTGTGGAGCTAGAATGAAGAATGAAGTTTATATGGGACTTCTCAGAACCTGTAATCTACCCAAGGGTTTGATTCTAAGTGGGGAGGGGGACCATAATATGTATTGTGCCCCAAATTTATTTGATTAGCAAATCCTCTTTTTGCCAAGGAAGATCTTGGAACTCTAGAAATGCTATTCTCTATACATTGCAAAATTATTCTATTTATATTTTTTACCTGCACAATTCATTGAGGTAATGATTTCCATGTCTACACTTAATACATTACTTCCTTTGTCCTAAAATGACTCAATTGTAAGGAATCCATAGATGCCTACTTACTTTAAACTTTTAAAAATGTACACTTTTGGCCAGGCACTGTGGTTCACCTGTAATCTCAGCACTTTGGGAGGCCGAGGTGGGCGGATCACTTGTGGTCAGATGTTCGAGACCAGCCCGGCCAACATGGTAAAACCCCATCTCTACGAAAAATACAAAAATTTATTTGGACGTGGTGGCAGGCTCCTATAATCCCAGCTACTTGGGAGGCTGAGGCAGGAGAACTGCTTGAAGCTGGGAGGTGGAGGTTGTAGTCAGCCAAGATCACGCCACTGCACTGCCTAGGTGAAAGAGCAAGACTCTTGTCTCGAGAAAAAAAAAAAGTGCATGTTCGAATTCTCCAAAGTTGTTTACACTTGCCCAAATAGACCCTAAATCAGCTCTGTTTAATAGTCATGCCTCATTAATGCACTTTAATGCACTTTGAAAGCAACACATGCTTGGTAGAGAATATTTTTAAGATTCAAGAAAATAAGACAATTATTCATAATTCCTTCACCCAGAGAGAGCTGTTATTTCTGACCCAGTGGTCCTCAAACTGAGGGGTGAGTCAGGATTACTCAGGATGTGTAGGTAGACAGCGATCCTTAGGCTCTGCTTTCAAAGACTCAATTCACTAAGTCTTACTAAAAATCGGCATTTTTGATAAGCCCCCAAGGTGATTCTGAGGTACATGAGTGGCAGACCATATTTCAGAAAAAAAACTGTCTATGTGCCTTTAAAATTTGGTGTGTGTTTAGATATTTTGTATGTGCGTTTACCTATGTTTGTATGTGTGAATATTATATACATGTACACATGTATATTTTTACATGTTGGCTGACCTCAACTGTTTTTCTCATTTAGCATATTATAAGCATTTCCCCACAGCATTAAGTGTTCTCTGAAAGCATGAATTTAATGATTTTCTATTATTGCATTCTATTGATACAGTATCATTTAACCATTTTTTTATTTGAGGGCAGTGAGATTGTTTTCCATTATTATAAATAACACTGTCATGAATATTCTTATGCATAAATCTTTGTATCTCTCAGTATTTCCTTCCTTAGAATTGATTTCTCTGAGGGTGAAAATGTGACTTATTTTTGGAGATTCTGGGTAGGAATTGCCCACTGTTTTTCATGCTCTTTTACACTCCTAGCAGCAGCGAATAGGAGTGGCCTGTCTTGGTATTCTGTCTGGCGATGATATGGAGTATCATCAGCTCATGACCTTGCTCACACTTCTTCCGCAAGACATTACTCCTATGAAGATTATTTTCACCTCCCAGTGCCAATAACTTTGTTGTGTCTTTCAAGTAGCACATATTGTGATTTCCTTGAATATTCTTATGCCAACTTAAAAATTTGCTAGTTTTTACTTTAGGGGTAAAAATTCTTACTGCTTCAAATATGTCCATGCCCGATGTACAGTGAAAGTACTTTTTTACTCACAAAGATATACATTTATCGTGAAATGTGCTGGTTCTGTCCTTAATGATGGATGGATTTTTCAGGTAATGAATGAGTCAGTATTTTTCTTACATGGGAAGACTAAAAAGGAAGCG